AAAAAATCTGAAATAAAAACAAAGAAAAGTTTGATTCACATTGTATGCTTGATTAAATATTGCTGAATAATCTTTGATCTTTGATTAATCGCAATGCAATGTAATCTGAAGTTACAATTAGAAAATGAATGGCATTTTTGCTTTGGATAAGTAAAGCATATATTGTTTTTATCATAGTGAATATTTCAATTGTCGTGATCGCTGCTATCGTCATCTGAGGAAAGTTAATAAATGAAGAGGGGTGATCGCTTGTCTATCAGATAATCACATGATTATGAAGAAGCGTCTCGATATGATAATAACTTGAAGTTCATTCGTCTTCATTCTGAATGTCTTGATGTTCTTATGAAAGCTTTCTTAATCCAGACTTTCTTCTTTGGAAGATTGATTTAAAACTCAGAGAAGGCAAATGCCTATGTTTAAAAGTACGGATACATAGTACTTGGTAGAAAAACTACAAGGTCTGTAAGAATCAACTCAACCTTTAAAGGAGCACCATCTTTTCAATATCCACGCAGGATAAAATACTGATTTCTATAGTTTTTATTATCCTCAAATTAGAATATATCATTATCTTCATAATGAATAAAAAGAGACAAAAAAAAAAGGTTTTTGTTTATATAAATGGGAAAAAGAAAAGATAAATATATAGATAGAAACACACCTATAAAACCATGCGACTACTCGAGAACGAAAAAAAAGCAAAGAAGTAAGAGCAAAGATACACATATGTATGTAATACGAGGATATTATCCTAAATTGAATAAATAACAAAGATGTCAAATGTTGTCACTGTGAAATTAATGATTGTTGTTGTTTAAAGATTAGAATTGATTCAGATGACCAATAAAGATTACAAGATTTATAAACTAAATAGATGATATAATGATAGATCATTGTTAAGTAAACATGAAATATATACCTAAAGTCCATATATAAAGTACAAAAAAATCTTCAGATTGTTCTTCTCCAACATATGTAAATTTTAATTCAGGAAATTTCTAAAATTAGAAACATAAAGAATTTCATTTTTTGAAAAACAAAATTACTTTTACTCGATTTAATGGAAATTGTTTAGCGCTTATTTCTAAAGCTTCTTTAACATATTCAGTTGAACGTTATTCAAGTTTTTCTACTTTCTCAGCAAAATAAATAATAACCTAAATTACAAAAACAAAAAAAAAATAGTTGATAATAATAAAATTGTGTTTTATTCTGTGACATTAAAATAGATTTTTTTGGAAATAAAAATTATTAACAAAATCTCAGAATCAACAACGATCTAAATTTCGACAAATAATCGAACTTACTGTATCAATATTTTGTAAAATATCTTGAAAACTAAGATGTGCTCTATAATTATCAAATATATCTTTATTATAAAGTAATGTATAAATAAGATTAATATTATGTTGAAGTGTATGTGTTAAACAAGAATTAATTATTTCTAAAACCATTCTCATAACATCTTCAATGATACTTAAATCTTGTACATTTTCATTAAATATATTATCATTTGAAGTATTTGTTGTTAATATTTGCTGTTGTTGTATAAGATCTAATGTTTTTGTATGTTTACGTGCAAGTAAATTAAACAAAGAAACAATTCTTTGTGAAACATATGTATGTAAATTTTGAAATTGTGAAGACATATTTGCTAATGCAGCAAAACAATTTGTATGTAAATATTTAGCACGCATACGTGTCATATTAAATTGTATTGTACGAAGAACAACAGCAACAAGTAAACCACCCAAACTTATTTCATTCAATGAACGTTCAGTATACCTAAAAGTTGACTTTTATTTTCCTTCTAACAGCTTGTTGTTAAATAAAAATCGATTTTCGATACATCGTACTTGTTCACAAGATTCTCAAGAACTCAGGTGCACTTTACAATATACTTCAAGCTATAGCACTCGAACTATAGTTAGAATCCTGCACGAAGTCAACTAATTTTTTTTCTGAAAATTCAATTTTAACATAAGAACCTTTCTTGACTCCAACAATGTTTTATAGAGGCATCCGCACACGAACCAAAGTTGAAATTGAATTCAACTCCGACTTTCCTTTATGTCGATTAAACTTCCAAAATGCATCCATTTTGTACAGTAAATATCAGAAAACAAAACCTACTATTCAGAAAAGTTCATATGTTAAAACTGAAGTTTTTGGTAAAAAATTTAATTGACTCCGTGCAGTATGGCACAGAGTTTTTCTTAATTTTTATTTTATTTCATTTTTGGGACCTCCAAAGATCTTAAGCAAAGTTTTCTAGAAAATCCATGATGGCTTTAATATTGAAGGTTGAAACTTCACTAGAATGAATTATATTGAACTTTCTGAGATCAACATCAAATTTGATTCTATTACAATTCATCTTCAGTCTTATCGAGTACTCTTCTAGCTACAGATTAGGATATGATAGGGGCCAATAATTGCAATGAGGGTGGCTGGGTGGGTGTGGGTGTGGGTGTAGCGAATCAAAAACTCACACCGACACCGACATCCACAACCATACCCATACCCACATCCTCAATCTAGGCGTGACATTGTTTGACTTTGCAAAAGCGTGTTTGCAGATGATTTTCATTTACTCGTGCGATACTGTTGTTCGATGTGTCAACTAAATCGATCATAGTTGAGAATAGATCGATCTCTATAAATCTATATAATGAAATTATCTTTTATCAACATTTGTTATCATGTAATGTGTCCGTCAAAGACTTTAAAATCTTCTTTTCAATAATATATTTAATATTCTTCAAAAATTAGAACATATCCAGTTATTTGAATCTTATTTCTTTTATTTTTATACTTTGCTTTTATTGAATGTTATTCTAGGCATTAAATATATAGAATACAATCGATTATGTATGCAGTAGTTTGTTATTTATTATGATTGAAATATATTTTAACTTTCTGATAGCATTTTTTTTTTATTCAAATGATTTTGCACAAGAATAATATTTATAAAGAAGGAAAATATGAATGAAAGTTTTGTGGTGGAACAAGTAGTTCAAATGTAATTAAAGATTTTATTTTAGCACAATTAAGACGTGCTGTATCATTAGTAAAATAATTTGTTATTCTTGTTAATTTTTTGTATTTAATTAGAAGATTTGTCAAACAAGGTAGACGAGTTATTTTGTCAGAAAGAAACTGTATCACATAGTCATCGTGTACACTTAAAATATCGAGTGTCAAGAGATGATTAAATGTAATCAATGTAGACGAATGATGCTGTTCATTTTCTTGTGATATATCATTACATATAGTCAATTGTTGAAGAAAAGGAAAATCTTGAGAGATAATTTGGAATAATTTATGTTCAAATGGACGTTCATCCTGCATTGATAATAATCGAACTTTATCAAATCTTCCACCTTGAAAACAGCTACCCATATATAAGAAATCGTTAAATTGATATGGAAGAGAATAAACATGACAATTGCCTCGGTTATTCATGAATTTATCATCAAAACATGTATCAAATGATTGAATTCCTCTACTAATGAAACTATTTCGAATGTCATCATTTGATGGACGATCTATTCCAATATCATAATTAATAATGCAAGTATGTATACTAAAGATAAATTTATTCAGTCGTGGCATATAATTAAGAACTTCATCATATAATTGATTACCATCGATATAAGTGCATGTAGGTCTTAATACTGAAAGAAATAATGTTAGTTCTTCAATATTTAACATTCGACGAAGTAATGGCACAACTTGATTGTCATAATAAAATGTGCGCCAATCTGTTGCTAATGAAAAACATTTCAATTTGACAAGTTTTTTCTAAAGAAAATTAAATAATCAATAAATTTTAAAGACAAATTTGTTTCTATTCAATAATCATATTTATACTTACTGTATTATCTATCATTGATGATGAACGATTTATGTCATTAATACGAATAATCAATGTAGATAAAGATTGAAGACATCCATTAAGAAGATAAAGACAATCATCAAAATAATTAACATTTATTGTCAATTTAGTAAGAGTTGAAGATAAACAATGTGTATATGAAATATTTGAAGACAAAAATGTTATATATTTTCTTGAGGATTTTTGAAGATAGGTTAAATCATTTAAACATTTACTAACTAATAGTATGATTAGAAAAGTATTTGGATCACTTCCATTAGTTTTTTCTACATTCTCAATCTTGATATCGACAGTAATATGTGTTATTTGATTCTCAAGAAGACGTATAATGGTTTCATCTTAAATGTAAATAAAAAATATCAATCATTTATGAAATCAAATAAAATTCAACACTATACCTAATAAATGTTGTGAGAGTATGTTTGGTTGAAAATTGATAAATGATAATGAATGAAGTTGAGGATAATGAACAGTACCAAAAACACATTCCATAGAAAGTGGTTCGAGAGTAAATTTGGTTACTTTATTATTAATTCGAGGTAAGATTTTCGAACAAATTCTATCGAGAATATGAGTATCTATCGAAGAATTATGAATATCATCTTGTTTGATCACCAAATCGAGATGATCTATATATAGAGAATCAAATGCTAATCGATCAAATCGTTGATTTACATCTACTAATGAATAGAGCATATCGACCATATTCAGTTTATTGAAAATAATACGTAACATTTCATCTGGTAGATCAAGTATATTTATATAGCTGTTATTTAAAATGTCCATGTCTAAGAATTATCTTTCACTTCAGTCATTCTTATCTTCTTCCATTCTATATATATATATACAATATATTATTTTCCTCGGAGCCGTCTGCAACAATAACATTGATATAGAGGTTAAACAAAATAGAAAAATAAAAATTGAATTAAGAAATGTGATTGGTGTTTCTACGTAGCAACACCAATCAAATTTCTTAATTCAATTTTAAATTTTTTTATGTTTTGACCCCATAGTCATGTTATGTGATAATGAGTGCTTGATGCTATTTTTCTTTTTGCCTACAATTTCTTTCATTCAGAAAGAGAAAAATCTGCACGGTCACTTTTTAATAATACAAGCGCATTTATCATATATTAAATGTATTTTTAACAAGTAGGGTGTGGTGGGTGTGGGGTGGAGTGTGGGGTGGGGTGTGGGTGTGTTCTTTTTCTTTATCTACACCAGACACTCACACCCTCACCCTCACCCACACCCACACCCACACCCTCCATTTTCAATTAAATATTTAATTAGAGGTAAAAATTCATCATTATTAAATTTCGAAGATGAATAAAAATGTTTCATAAATTCTATATAAAACTCAACAGCCGGCTTTAACAATGGAATGAAACTTTTTTTTCTACTTGCTAATTCTATGCAGATATTTGGTAAATATTCAGTACGTTGAATTAATTCTCGTTGGACATTATCATCCTCATCCTAAATATAAATTAGATAAATCAAATAATTAACTAACTTTAATTGACATATCAGTGAATAATTGTGCATATTGTTTTTCAATTTCATGAATAGTTTTATCTAATTCTACGTGATATGTATGACATTCTTAGAAGAATTTGTTGACATTTACCAATTTGCTTTTTTAATGCAGCAATTTCAAAAGTAACATTTCGTCGAAGAAGTTGAGCGCATTCAACTACAAATATTGAATATTGTCAAAGAAAGAA